ACAATCAAAATATGACATGTCATTATTTGACAAAAAAACTTAAAAATCTAAGATGAACTACGTTATTTTATTTTCAGCAATTTCTGTAACTTCAGAAAAAAGAAGTAAAGTTCCTATTTCTATGACTCTTATAATGTCTCAATATATATAGTTTTTTTATTAGTCTCAGTATATATTTAAATAGATGAAACTCGACTTGGTAGCCATTTACTATATGTCAAGGAGATGAATTGAGGTCTTTCTGTAAAATAAATTGGTAAAAACATTTTCTATAGGGAATTAGAAAAAGAAAAGTACTACGAATCTATCTTATTAAAACAGAAGTACCAATAAAATATACCCCTTAGTTTTTCAAATTATTTACACTACAATGCCATTGTATTTATTAATAATCCTAATATTTAGTAATGTTGTCTTTTTCAGTTAATTTAATATATTTCCTAAATTGTTTATTAATTTTAAAAAACAAAATCATTTCTGGATATCCCCTAGATTTTCTAATATAACAGTTTATGCTACTCAATTTTTTTTTCTAAAAAAATCAAAAGTTTAAAATATGTATTCAATCACGTTGGACCATTTAATAATGTATAGTCAACTTTTTAAATACTAATTTCAGTTACCATTAATGCTTAAAATGTCATATTAAACAATAATTTAATACATATATATATATATATATTTTAAAATTATATATTATTATATATATAAAATAAATATATATTTTCAAAAATGTAAAAATAAATCCGCACGGATGTGCGGATCAAGCTCTAGTTTCTATTAAAACATATGTGAAGCTATGTGGAAAGAGAATATTCCAATTTATATACAAAATATGTATGTATATATTATTATACAGTGTGTTAACATTACTAATATACTAATGGATGCAAAAAAAAAAAAACTAATATACCAATGAATATTTTGTAAAACAATGAAATTGAATGGTTCACAGGCACGAGATATACTAGTTACTAGATTAAGACCAGCGTAATTGCGCGGGATAAAAGTCATATATAAAAATATTTTTTATGTATTATTATTTATTTTTGTTTATTTATGTATTATGTATATAATTAAATTAGAATAATNAAAAAAAAAAAACTAATATACCAATGAATATTTTGTAAAACAATGAAATTGAATGGTTCACAGGCACGAGATATACTAGTTACTAGATTAAGACCAGCGTAATTGCGCGGGATAAAAGTCATATATAAAAATATTTTTTATGTATTATTATTTATTTTTGTTTATTTATGTATTATGTATATAATTAAATTAGAATAATCACATAAATCAAAAAGTATCTCTTGTTTATTTATGATATTTTTTTGGTAAATAAATCAAATAATTATTTTATTTATTTAATAAAGTATATAACTAAATTTCAATGATATAGACATAGATATATAGTATATTTATATTTTTACATAAATATTTAATATTGAAAATTCATACTAATATGATAAACGCAAATTTCCTAATGTGCGATTTTTTTCAATGCAAATTTCAAAACTAAAATACTAAGGTTTCAATACTTTTCAAACAAATTTAGAAATTAACATATTTATGTATTTTATATGCTATTTATTTATACTATTATTTAAGAAGTAAATTTCCTTAGTTGTCATGTTCTCCATAAATTTAGGTAATTTTTTTTATCTATCATATTTTAAATATTTATATATATTTTATGTACAAATAAAATAAATTTATATGATTATATCATATTTTTAGAAAATAAGATAATTCTTGTGAATTATGTTGTTATCTTGAAATATATTGTCTATACTATTATTTAAGAAGTAAATTTGCCTAGTTATTATACTATTATTTAAAAAGTAAATTTGCTTAGTTGTCATGTTCTCCATAAATTTAGTTAATTTTGTTATATATCATATTTTAAATATTTATATATATTTTATTTATAAATAAAATGAATTTATATGAATATATCATATTTTTAGAAAATAAGATAATTCTTGTGAATTATGTTGTTATCTTGAAATATATTGTTATATATATAAATTAAATTTAAAATTAAGATATAAATACTATTATATTTATCTAAAACGAATTTCTATTAATAATTTAATATTTAAATATAACTAAAACGAATTTATATTAATAATTTATTACTTTTCTAAAATAAGATAATTATTATGTATTATGCTGTTATGTTGAAAATATATTTTCCTATTATAAATTTAAAATTAAGATATAAAATTATATTATTAATAATTAAATATAAATCATAACTAAATATAAATCATAATTAAATATAAATCATCAAAACAATTATTTGAAAAGTGAATTTGTTGATTTGTCTCTGTGATCCTAAGTATTTTTGATTATTTATTAGAATTTCTATAATTTTGTTTATTATTATTGTATAATTAAAACTAACTTATATTAATAATATGATATTTTAGAAAATATATTAATTCTTATTTATTATGCTGTTATCTTGAAAATATATTTTCTATTATAAAATTTAAAATTAACATGTAAAAAATCTATTTTATTATTTACGAAGTGAATTTGATGTTTGCTGATTTGTCATATTTTCCATGATTTTAAGTAATTTTGATAATTTATCATAATTTATATAATTTTATATATAATTTATTATCTATTTAAAACAAAATTATATTGATAGTATAGGATTCTTAGAAAATAAGTACTGCTTATATTAAATTGATGTCTTGAAAATATATTTTCCTATTAGAAATTTAAAATTAAGATATTAAAAGTTGTAGTTATTCTATAATTGAAATAAATCTGCACTAACAATATTATACTTTTAGAAAATAAAGTAATTCTTATGTATTATGTTGTTATCTTGAAAAATTATTTTTATATTATATAATTTAAAATTAAAATAATAAAATTATATATTATTTTAATTAAATATAAATCATCACTCAATAAAAATTATTTAAAAGTGAATTTGCTGATTCATTAAGTTCTCCATGATTTTAAGTAATTTTAATTATATGTCATAATTTCCATAATCTTATATAATTATTATATAATTAAAAAATATGCTATTATACATTTAGAAAATAAATAACTTATGCATTATATTGTCATCTGGAAAATAGGTTTCTATTATAAAATTTAAAATTAAGATCTAAATATTATAATTAAATATAAATCAAGAAAAATAATTATAGAAATATATTCTTTTAAATATTTCTGATGTTTAAGTTTTGTCATTGATAATTATTTGATGTTTGATTTTTACTTTTTGAAAACATAAATAATAACTTATTATGCTATTTTTTTAATTAATGAAACATAAACTAATAAGTATTCATAAGAGAATTATGCCCGCTAGTGCGGGCAAAACACTTAGTTAAACTTATATATAATATGAATGGCTATTAAATAAGATTTCATATCCATACGATTTATGATCATTTGTATCTTGTTATTGCAACAAAAGTTAACCATTGATCACAAAATTTTAGTGTGAAACGTTTAACGTTTTTAGTAATTTATTGTCATTTTAAAAATTCAAAATATAACGTATAATATGTTTATTGTGATTGTTTAATATATTTTAATAATATAAAATTAAACCAAAAAAACTAAGATATAAAAATTGTTATCAAATATTTTTTATTCATAATCATTAATGTCATATATATATACATTAATCATATTAGATAACCCTGTAGGTTTTAATTTAGGAAAATGTGAGAATAGTCTTTTGTATACTATTTATCAATTTGAGAGTTAGTTTAGTAAAATGTATAATATAAGTTAAGATTAACTAATTTTTTTAAAAAAATTCTGAATTTCATTTTCATGACGACACGTGGCTACAAAACAGCCACAACAATGTTGTAATGTTTCTCAAGGGATACATACTAATTTATATTTTGTTTGTGTAATTGAGTTTTTATTAAGGTTTTCTACTTCTTCTGGTGATATACAGTACTTGACATACTTTTAAGATATACACAGATTTACAGATATGGATCATGTGAACACCACCACATATCACCAATCAAGGATCCAATAATTGTGGTTGTAATATTTGATTCTGAGATCTCAACCAATAACACAAAATAGTAAACTAGATTAGTTTTAACGTAAAATAAAGATTATATATGTAGTGAAGAAATCCTTATGAGATGTTTACAGATACTGATTATGAAGAACTTGCTAGCAATAGTGCGATTAGATATAACCAAAAACATATTAACCATACAAAAACCTAAAATACTTGACTAATACAGAAACGAAGGGAGGATGTACAGTATACCTGGAAATGAAAGACTGAGTCGAGCAGAAGAAGAGAAGAAAGCAAAAGTGGAGAAGAGGAACAAACATAACACAACCGAGGAAGACGATGAATGACCCATCTCTCTCTCTACATAGATATTTCTCTTTCCTCCCTTCTACTATATTTATAGACTACACCAGCCCTTCGTTTTCAAAGACTTTCTTACAATATAAAATCTTTTTGATTTTTATTAATATACCCGCTAAGGAACATATTCTCTACAATCTAATGGTTTTGTATTCAATGCGTGTATATGTACGTGTTTGTTGTTGACAAGCACAAAAAAGAAGAAGGAACATGATTGTCTTCACATTCGGTAGGTTTGACAAGATTGAAGTGGGATCCCTTTAAACCATCAACGAATTAAAATTCATTTTTTTTCATTGTCTTGGTTCGAATAACTACAAAACTCATTTGCCAACCTGGAGTAGTCCCGTGCATGCAACTGTCTGTATTAGGTGGAATAGTTTCATACTTTCATTGTACAAATTAAAAACTTTGTTAGTTCATCACATATATTCACTTTGATAAGTTAGTTATCCACACTGACACTAACCATCTGAATAAAAAATTAGGATAATCCTAACAAAGCAAAGCTGTCTATAAATGTATCAATCAATTTCTTATGATTCGTAAATTTTTGAGTATGGTTTAGTTTTTTTTTAACATAAAATGACTAATACAAGTCCAAGAAGATAGCAATGCACAATGTAAGGGACTATTTTGACATAAATATGTCTAATAAAGACCACTCAAGCCTAGATTATCAAGAAGCACAAAAGCATAATCTCTAGTTTTGTATCCAACATCATTAGATTCTCTGGAACATAAGCAACATACAAGTTTACACATAACATAAGAGATCCAAACACTTCAAGCAAGCAAAATGATCGTGCAAATCGGGAAACACCCATATCATCATCGTTTTTTGAAACCATATTTCTTACGCTCATAGAAGAGATCAGTCTTGGCACTCCCAAGGTTAACAATCTTGGGACAACCATCTCTGTCTTTCTCCTGCTGTGTACACTCTTTGCAGTAGTAAGCATCAGAGATCCCAACCCCTCCGCAGATAACACACCGGCCTTGGAAGGAACCGTAGTTGCATTCGTCACAGATACGCACCAGAGTACAGGGACGCACGTAAGAGTCACAAACCACGCACTTGCCGTCGCATTTCTCACAGAGTCGTCCAATGGCGATGCCTGGTTGTTTCCGGCACATGATCAAATCAGGGTGATGCTTTGCCATGGCTAGTGAAAAAACAGTGACCTGCACACATAAAGTCACTTTGTCTATAAAACAAGAAACTAAAGAACAAGAACAACTAAAAGTTCTTGTCTTCACTTGTGTCTGAACAATATTTGCAAAATAAACTAAAACTTGGGAATTGAAGTTTGTCTAGTAGTGTTAACTTCTCAGAGGAATATCGTCGAACACCTTACATGCACAAGTCCCACCCAAACATTACTATTGCAAATTGCATACTCTAGAAACATACCTAATCATTCTAATTAATACTTTTGAGATTAGATAACAAATTAAATAAAAGAAGGAAATCAAGAAGCTATCACAAACCCCTAAAATTTTCAAAATCAAGAAACAAACGAAAGAATACGAGAAATCTTTAAAGATAAAAGTTAAAGCTTACAGTTAACGGGGGATTAAACTTGAGCAAATCAAGAGACTGTTGGGACGAGAAACTTCCTGAGCGCCAAGATCAACCAACTAAGAAAGGTCTGGAACGAACTAAGCAGAAGGAGATGTAAAACGAGACGGATCAGATCGTGTACATGAAGTAGGCCCAATTATTATGGGCTCTTACTTTGGGCTATTAAACTCTTTACCAGACCAAACAGGTGACAAAATCTTGACCAAGGCCCAAATCAAACCAAGTGTCGGTCTAAGTTTCAGAGCCCAATTTTTATTTCATCACCCGTTAGCTTTGACTTTTGACTAGCGTAACGTGGATTCTTTGCGCTACGATGTGACGTGGATTTTAAATTAGATTTTTTGTTTTTGTTTTGAGAAACTAAGGATGATAATTGTAACAACTCATAGAAAAGAGTTGCATTGTGAAGGAGACTGTTAAGTATTTTTAAATTAGAAGACCTCGTGTGAATTGATATAATTAATTTCAGAACAGTCATCAAATGGAAGCCAAGAAGAAACAAACCAGGAAGACTTCCCTAATTAAGTCTTCAACGGTCACTTGCTGAGAAGCTGCGACTGCGACCAGGCAAAAAAAAAAAAAATTCCATCCAATCAAATTGCAACTCGTAACCTCTATGGGGGGCCCGGGAACTGTCCTGGAATTTGTCTTCATTCATTATGTAGCGAAAATGAGTTGAAAAAGTAGAGAGTCATCAATAGGGGTGGGCACTTTATCCGATACCCGAACTCGTACCCGAACTCGACCCGAAATATCCGAACCGAAATCCGAACCGAAGTAGCAAAATATCCGAACGGGTATTGAGTTGTGAGAGTTTGGATATCCGAACCCGAACGGGTATTACCCGAACCCGAACGGGTATCCGAAGATAACCGAACATATGTATATATACCTATTTATTCCTAGATTATTTGTCTCATTTTATTAAAAATATTTATATTAATGTTATATATAATTTAAGATCAGATAATATACATATAATTGTAAAAAAATTAATTGGTTACTCATTTAAAATGCATATTAAGCTTCTTATTTCCTATTTTAAACAAAATTTGCATCCAAAATTCAAAAATAACAACCAAAATACTGATTTTTATTTTCAATAATTTATTTTCAAACTTATTAATCATCTAACTTATTAAACATTTTAAATACAGTTAAGTTAATAGTGAAATTTTAAATACATGACACTTAAGTAATAAAGAATTTGAATTTTTTTTTCAAAATCTAAATATCCGAACCCGACCCGAAATAACCGAACCCGAACTAAAAATATCCGAACCCGACCCGATATGTAAAAATACCCGAACGGGTTCTATACCCCAATACCGAAATACCCGAAAACCCGAAATACCCGATCCGAACCCGAACGGGTACCCGAACGCCCACCCCTATGCCCAGATAGCTGTTTATTTCCTTTCCTTTTAGACGTGTTTTTGACTTAACTTTAAATGTCCGTTTTACCCTCACAACAAAACTGATTGCTTCATATTCTTCTAGTTTTGGTGTGTATGTAAATTGCTGTCTTGTCCTTGTAGATTCTCTTTTGGGGTTTGCTGTGCTTCGTTGAAATTTATGCTACATAGGCCTTTTCTTAATTAACTAGGCATAATTTGGTTATGTTTTTGACCAATTTTTTTTTTGTTATTTATCAAAACTATTACTAAGTAAACTGTGTTTAAAATTGAATGATTCAGTCTTTTATATAGATCATACATTGTGACAAGAAAACTCAGTATTATACATTGTCTTAGGAGCGAAGTTTCGCAAATGTAAAATGATATTTAAAAATTATAATCTAATTATTTTTTCCGGCTAAAAACACTTTATTGATTCATATCAAGACATATGTTATTATACAAAAAAAAAATGGACAAGAATGGTAATATGTCAAGACATATCAAGACATATGTCATATCAAGACTTCAATTTGTCGAGGATAGAAGTGTTTTTTTGGATAGTAAATCAGCTGTTGCATTACAGTGACGATTAACATGACAAAATGATGTTGAAACGAAACTTGCTTTCCAAACAAGTACAGTATTAACCAAATGATGGCACCGGGGACTTCTATTCGCGGTAGTAAAAATATAATCTAATTTTAACTAGGTTTTTTTTGTTGATTGTGTTCTTTTATTAATGTATTATTTTGGTAAAATCAAACAAATGATATAAAACATTAATCATTAGATTTATATCCCAACCATTCTATTATCTTAACTATTCATTATTAGATTAGATACACTTATTTTTCTTTTTGTATAACATAGCTTTATAATATAAAAGCACCAAGAGCAAAATAAATAGACTTCTTTTTCTTTCTTAAAGAAAAAAAAAGATCTGGTCAACAAGAGTAGGATTCTACTTTAGCTCAGTTCTGTTTTTCCTCAAAACAATATCCTTTTCGTGGAAAGTTAAAGGACAAAGCCGTAAAAAGAGGAATGGTAGTTGCGAGAGGGATACATACGTCATTCTGAAAGTCAATGGAATAGACTAATGAGAAGCGGCTCGACAAACACGGACTCCATTATTATAGTATTATTCAACAATTCACACCTTCTCTCTCGTTTACTATTTAAACCTCTTCCTCTCTCTCTCTCTCCTTTATCACAAAAAAAAAACAAACAGAACAACGAAGAGGAAGACAAACCAAAGAGAGACAGATCAATCTTCGAAGGGTTCAAACAAAACGATGTCGTGTTCCGTCTGCAATTCTCCGGTGTCATCTCTTTTCTGCAACAAAGCTTCTACACTCTCTTCGCCGCATGAAACCGTCTCTATAACTCTTTCCGCCGCTTCTTCCCCTAAATCGTTTCGTCTTCGTTTCAAGAAACCACCGACCGGACTCTCTCCCGCGCCGTTACTGCTCAGATCGGACTCTGTTCCCGCGCAGTCTCCTCCCGTTTTGAAGAGGAAACGTCCGACGAGGCTTGATATACCGATTGCTACCGCGTCGGAGATCGCGGTTGCGACGAAGACGCCGAGGGAGGAGAGAAGAGAGGTGGAGAGGGAAGGAGATGGCTACTCTGTTTACTGTAAGAGAGGAAGGAGAGAAGCTATGGAGGATCGCTTCTCCGCTATGACCAATCTCCAAGGAGATCGCAAAAATGCTATATTCGGAGTGTACGATGGTCACGGAGGAGTCAACGCGTCAGAGTTCGCGGCTAAGAACTTAGACAAGAACGTTTTGGAAGAGTTAGTTGGTTGTAATAATAAAAGCTTAGACGAGTCTGACGTGGCAGACGCGGTGAAACGCGGTTATTTGACCACAGACGCTGCGTTTCTCAAGGGGGAAAACGTTAAAGGCGGTTCTTGCTGCGTCACGGCTATGTTCAGAGACGGGAACCTCGTGGTCGCCAATGCTGGTGATTGTCGCGCTGTTATGAGCGTTGGAGGCGTCGCGGAGGCTCTTTCTTCCGACCACCGTCCCTCTAGAGATGATGAACGGACAAGAATTGAAACCACGGTAAGAATCTCTATTATTAGTATAAAATGTTTATTACGGAAAGGGCAGAGTTTCTAATAATAGATTTTTTTTTTTTTTTACAGGGCGGATATGTTGATACGTTTCGTGGTGTTTGGAGGATTCAAGGATCATTAGCTGTTTCGAGAGGGATAGGTGATGCTGATCTCAAGAAATGGGTTATAGCCGAGCCAGAGACGAAGAGCTTAAGAATCGATGAGGAGCACGAGTTCTTGATCTTGGCATCGGATGGTCTATGGGACAAAGTGAGTAACCAAGAAGCAGTAGACATTGCTCGTCCTTTCTGTGTAGGAGATGAAGAGAAGTCGTTGTTGTCAGCATGTAAGAAGCTTGTTGATCTCTCGGCTTCACGAGGCTCTTCTGATGATATTAGTGTGATGTTGATCCCTTTGCGTCAGTTCATCTAGAAATATAGAGATAGAGATTTATAGAGTATTTAGAAGGGTTTCTTTATGATTTTAGCTTTATTTATAACTTGGAGTAATCATTTGTTTATTCTTTCTAACTTTGTGAAAAGATAAGCTCAATGTGGGCTATGTACCTGTATGATGCATTGGTCCAGTTTGAACTAATTATCAGTTCGTTATTATTATGTGACCTCTGTATAATGTAAATTTAATCTAATTTCAAGAATGAAGAGGGCTGAGAGGCCATATTGGTTTCCAGCATATTTACCAACATTGGGCCAAACAAAAAAACCAATAATTCTAAGTCAATTCTTTGCACACTTGTAGTTTAGTTTTGATCATCAATTTTTATTTGAATCTCAACTGATTTCATGTAAAAGTAAGACATGTTTGCTTTTGTCTAGCTGTTACAATCTTGTTAGATCTATTTCATTTATTCATGTTTTATACATTCAATCTTGTTAAGACAGTACTGTACTACTGCAAATCAGCGCTAAGTAATCATAGTTATAGCACACATTTCCTAACAATTTGTTGTTGAATTACATGGCTAAAAACTCCTCAACTTCCAATGCATTTTCATTAAAAAAAAAGAGTGAGTTAAAAAATTGTGTGGTATGGGATCGTATCGTCTGACAGAGATTATGAGACAAATCAAGCATGAATTACAAGTTGCAACAACCTTTAGAAGATTAAACATAGCGAAACAGTCTAGAGAAAGAAGTAACACACTGAGTTTTATGAGTCAAATTTATCATTATGAAAGGTCTAAGCCATTCCAAGAATTTGATGGCTTGAAGCAAAAAAATGTATATAGCCATGGGAGATAAAAGGAGCTGGTCTGCCCAATCATAATACACATTGTATAGACCATCACAACTTGACTACAATAATATATTAATAGTCAACGGGCCTCTAATATATATATTTGAATTGAAGCCACAAGCTCAAGCTCTTGTATATTGACCTAGAACATATGTCCAAAAAATCACTATGATTAGAGAATTTTGGGTTTCTAGTACAAATCAGAGGGCTTCGACATGAGGTCTTACACAAATATTTGTTACAATTCTTAAACCCTCTAGCATCAAACAAGTCTCTCTCTCTCTCTCGCTAGTAATCTCTAATTATAGAGTCTTTGATTGCTTGGATAAGCCTCTAAACTGATTAGTCCATCGGTTCAAATTAAAACCCTTGAGCCGAGAAAAGTACTTTTGTGTGTTTTTTTGTTGTTGATCCAAAGTAACAAAAGTGACTATATATAACTGATTATATCGTACACTGACCAAATTTGTATTTGAATCTCAACTGGATTTCATGTAAAAGTAAGACATGTTTGCTTTTGTCTAGCTGTTAGAATCTTGTTAGATCTATTTCATTTATTCATGTTTTATACATTCAATCTTGTTAAGACATGTACTACTGGAAATCAGCTAAGTAATTATAATTATAGCACACATGTCCTAATAATTTGTTGTTGAATTACATGGCTAAAAAACCCTCGACTTCCAATGCATTTTCATATTAAAAAAACGAATGAGTTAAAAAATTGTGTTGTATCGGATCGTATCGTCTGAGAGAGATTATGAGAGAAATCAAGCATGAATTACAAGTTGAAACAACCCTTAGAAGATCAAACATAGCAAAACAGTCTAGAGAAAGAAGTAACACACTAAGTTTTACGAGTACAAATTTATCATTATGAAAGGTCTAGAGCCGCTCCAAGAATTTGAAAGCTTGAAGCAAAAAAAAGTATATAGCCATGGGAGATAAAAGGAGCTGGACTCCCCAATCATAATACACATTGTATAGACCATCACAACTCGACTACAAAATATATGAATACTCAACGGCCTCTATTATATATATTTGAATTGAAGCCACAAGCTCAAGCTTCCTTTCTAAGGACTTGATATCAGCTCTTGTATTTTGACCAAGAACATATGTCCAAAAAATCACTATGANGGAGATAAAAGGAGCTGGACTCCCCAATCATAATACACATTGTATAGACCATCACAACTCGACTACAAAATATATGAATACTCAACGGCCTCTATTATATATATTTGAATTGAAGCCACAAGCTCAAGCTTCCTTTCTAAGGACTTGATATCAGCTCTTGTATTTTGACCAAGAACATATGTCCAAAAAATCACTATGATTAGAGGGCTTCGACATGAGGTCTTACACAAATATTTGTTACAAGTCTTAAACTCTCTAACATCAAACAAGTCTCTCTCTCGCTAGTAATCTCTTATAGAGTCTTTGATTGCTTGGTTAAGTCTCTAAACTGATTAGTCCATCGGTTCAAATTAAAACCCTTGAGCCGAGAACAGTACTTTTGTGTGTTTCTTTTTGTTGTTGATCCAAAGTAACAAAAGTTGACTATATATAAGTGATTATATCACTGACCAAATTTGTGCGGTGATAGTGATTACAGACGTGGAGAAGGTTGATAAAGGATAAGGGGAACAAATAAGAAAAGAAGGATTGTGTTTGTGAAAAGAGGAAGAAGACAATGGTCAAAGTAAGAACGAACAAAACAACATGTGAAAGATAAACACATGCTTTTGTGTTGTAGGCGGAGAACACGTTGCTGGTTTTTGGTTTTCTAATGGACCCCAGAACGGCACGTCGCTAAACTTTTCTCTTTGTTGTGATTATCTAGAATTCTTATTTTGCTTCAGCAAAACCAAATCTCCGCCAATTTAGGAGTTTAGTTTCACACACGCATCATGTGTTCCACCTCTTCAATATGTAACTAAACTACAAGTTTGTTCGCTTAACTTAGAGCTTCTATCTATCGAATTCATATATTTCACTGTTTTCTTATTCTTCCAAACAACATATTTATGAACGTGAAAGCTTAACAAATAAACACCATGATCTACAAGATTGACATTGAGTTAATCAACTAAAACTTAACTTTACTTGTAATTTTCTTCTTATATTAGGTTTTCACAACTATCTCATCTCATCTCATCACAAGTCAAAGTCAAATTTCTTTTTTTTTTTCTCATTTCGTTGTTTACAGGAGTGACGCGACGCATGAAAAGAAAAAAAATTCTGAATTAGACTTCTCAACATATTCATAATTTTAAAATAAACAAGCTTTGACCAAAAAAATTAAAATTAAAAAATGAACAAACACTTGAAAACATCAACAATGTAGATAAATCACACTCGCATCGCAATATCGCAGCCAATTAAATGGTTATTGGTTGGCATTTACTATTATTCAAAACGTTAGAAGCGGTTTTTACGTGTGGTCCCTCATTTTCAATTGAATATATTCACCATAGTCTATGGTGAATCTTGTCCAAAAAGTCATACGTGCAAACAATTCGAATTATCTGAATCTTTGGTTGGGACTTTGATCTCTTAATTCAAAATGCTTGTCTAAAAAAGGATTGTCCAGATTTAGAGTTACTCGGATGCTTGTATGATTTGAAGTAATGTGCAGTCTCCACCGACCACTATTTGGATCGATCGTTTACATTTGGCAAACATCTATTATTAAAACGATACAAATTTTCTTACATTTCTATTTTAAATTATAGTTCGTCATATGTTTATTATTATAGTTTTGCATTCAACTTCATACTCCAATGCAGTTCACATGACATTTTGACAGTCCATACAGCACCAACTACGCTTCTAATGCTTCCACCGTCCAGATTCCTCAATTTTGTATTTTTGTAAGATTCTCACGATACCACACCGTTTACTACCGATCGGATCGTTATCCTTGTGATACGAAGATCAGTGTGCATGATCTTGAATCGACCCTATATAAAAAAGTTGGAGATGATGTTGTTAGAGGTTTCTCCAGAGTTGCAATAACATAAGCATGTTGTATTGTCGGCCACCTCAATTTCGAGTGTTTTCTGCTTCGTCTTTGTCTTCTACTCCCACGACACCTATCAACATAAACAGCAACTTATGTCTCTATTATGTTTTGCTCTTTCCCATGCATCTTTTGTACCCAAAATACTATTTAATTGATTTAAAACAATTATCAAAGCAAATCAACATAAATAAAATATTGTCTCTAAAAATGTCAAACACTTCTGATTATTTTAGCCTTTTATCATTCTCTTTCCGAGTATATACATGACCTAACTAGTTTAGTAGAGTCGATTTCGATGAGAAAAATACATTAAAAGTTTAGTACCAACGAATGACATGTTGCACTTGCACTTGCATTGTATAATATTTTGTTTTCCAAGTGGATTGCTTGATCTGTAACTTGGTAATATGGTATGGGTCCATTAAATCTCAAAATAATATCTTATATTTTGGACTCTAATTCAAAGGATATCCAGCAAGTGGTGGACGGTTCATATAGTAGTACTTCACGTTCACAGAAGGGCAGAGATCTTCCACAAGCAAACAAACAAGACAAACTTATTTCTCTTTCAAAATAAGTGACTTTCTTAAAAGTATTAAAAAAATACCATAGGTAGATGGCAAGTGTATAGAAGCAGCAGAAGTATTCGTAACTTAATGTTGTTGTCAACTCATGAATTAGTAACTAATCAGTGCATAATAAAAAATACTATATTTTATGAACTTTTCTTCTTTGTCAACATTATTGTGGATAAGCATTCAAACTAAAATAGCATTTCTCTTTTCATTCCATCAAGGATCACGTTGAGTAAATTTCTCTGTTTAAATTACCCAAAAAAGAACAAAAGGGTTATTTAGAGTAGAGGTGGTGGAGGTGGTGAAGGCACGTCAATGGTGCAGTCGTCTAACAAAAAATGTAAGTGAGGTTGGGACAACTGGAGTCTTTGGTCCTCTGTTGGAGAACGTGGACTAGCAATTGCTTGACACGTAAGTTCACCGAAGTACACCACCAAAGATCTAATTCTTTTAGGTGCGCAAGTGATAAAGTCATGAACCTCTCTCTCATGTCTCATATTAACTTCTTTGGGGACAACTAACTCTGTTGCTACACGCTTCTTACGGAGTTTCAATTTTTAATCGGTTCGCTATTATTTTGAAAATCACTGCTAGCTTCGCGTACTTACAGTGTTAAGTGTACTTATGTACCCTCGTCGACATCGATTTTTGTATTTGAACTTTAACATTGATTGTTGACAATGTTTACGCGCAACGTTTAACGTAATTAGAACATTAAAAATATACTATAAAAATATATGCGATAAGACCGGTTCTGAATTTATGGGATTATAAACAATTTTGTAAAAAATTTAGAAAAAAATTAATATTGTTTGGAGATTATATGATCTACGTATATTGAAATTTAGGACCAAAACTCATGGTTCATTGACATATATATATATCTTATACAATAAAGTAGACTTCTCTCCCTTCTCATGCATCCACATCAGCATTTGTAAGGAGGGCAGAAAAAGCCATGTCAGCAATAACCTAAACCAAATAGACCAAACAAAATTTATCTCTCCCGTTTCGGTTTCAATTGGTTTTCTGTTTGTCGGTTTTGTGGTTGTTGGG